ATCAAGTAGTGACACAATATAGATATAAGAATGTGATTAGTTTGTATCATGCGTACCTTTGAATGACATTGTAAAAGAGTTGTAGTTCTTCTAAGGTAGCATAGACATCAAACATATCGTCGATTACGGTTATGAAGGCATTGATTTTGGTATTCATAGTTCTTGCATATCCATTTTTTATATCGTACATCCCACTAGCGGCCCAAAAGTAACACTCCACTAGCCTATCCCTCGCAAATGGCATCTTTTGGGATAGGCGTGTTTGCTCCCACCACCTATGCACAAATATAAGCAAGAAAACAAAAACACTGAGCCATAATTTTTATCTAGCTAATAGAAAAATTAAAAAATAAAAAATAAAAGTGAAAAATGAATTATAAAATGCATTTAACTGCATTTGTATATAAATAAGAACAAAATATCATCGGAGACTATTATGGGAATTAGGATTCTATTAAATTGATAACCTTGAGAGTTGTTTTAGTTCCCCTTGTTGGGTTGCTTGAACAATGTTGAAGTCTAACTTGGCAAGTTCAAGCACAATTGGATTCATATTTTGCTTGAGTTCGTAGGCATTTATGAACCATCTTGTATTTGGCCGCAAAACTCTCCAATGAAGTGGGAGCTCTAAAGCTTTGCGCACTAATATGGAAAGATGTTCATCCATGAATATTCCCCTATCAATACCCTCATTTTCAATTTTTTGCTTGAGACATTTGGTGGAAAATTCTCTTGCTAGCTCCAAGGTATCCTCGCCTCGCATCAACAAGAAAGAAGCTTCGTATAACTGTAACAACCCTTTTGTATCACATCCAAGGCTCGTGTCGAATTCACCTTTTTCATTCTTGAAACGATTAAACAATTCTGCAATAAATAAAGAATTTCGAACTTGATTAGGTTAACGAAATAAGAATGCATCATAGTCATTAGATGTGATAGTCAAACGGTTAAAAAACAAAACAAAATGAAATTTTACACTTATTATGGGTATGTTTTATAGCCGCCGCCAAACGGCCTGGCCGTCGAGCCCATCAAGTCCGCCTATGAGCGCCTAGGGCCGCCTAGCTGCCTGACTGATTTTTTCTGCCGATTTGTGCAAATCGGAGGTGCCTAGGCACCGCCTAGGCGGCCGCCTAGGCCGATTTTTAGAACTGTGACTGTCGCTGCTATCGTATGCAATGCCACGACATATGAGAATACAGGTAGTCTGACAATGGCTTTTGTTTGAAAATTTCAGAGTCTTATGTTTGAAATTTTGATAAGTCGAAGGGACTTAGTTGTAGTTTCAAAAATTTTAATATACTGCAATTTAAGTCTTGGGTAAATCTGCAGTTCATTAAAAGTTTGACTAATGCATAATACTGTTATGTGAAATGCACAACATCAAAAGTGTGGATATGCACAAAAAATACCGTAATTTTTTTTCTTACAAAATTATAGAATTGCCACTGCCTATCCATTTTAAAACTTCACGAATTTGCCAAAATGCAAATTCGCTTCACAAATAATGCACAATATTATTAGACAAATTGCACACTATTTTCAGTAAAAAAAAATGCACAATAACATTACCATTAACAATATAATATGCACAATCACAGAAAAAAAAAAAAAAAATCAAAAGTACCCATGATTATAAAAATTTGATCGCCATTTGATTAGTGCTGGAGCTTTTGACCAACCCCAGAGCGTTGATATATCCTATCCAACTGCTACGATCCATTTTATATCTTTCACTAACATAATTCTTATTTTCTTCAATATATATATAGGTAAGAAAGAATTTAATTATGTATATGAAAAGTAAGTTATGAGTAGGACCTTGAGAAATGCTGAATCCATGTTTTCGAAGGAGTCTGAATCCAAGAGCCGTTGTACCCAAGTCCATTTCACGTTTTGACCATCCTTGACCATGAATTTGTTTCAAGATTTCATTGATTTTGTCCTCAAAGTGATAACAAATACCAAGCCTCTCCAAGTCATCAATCAACTCCAATTTTTCGACATCTCCCATTGTTTCGTCGTCCAACATCATCTTCACATGCTCTACGAGTTCACTCGCCCTTTTCAAATACCTCTCGTCCTGAATTTACCAACACAAAAATTGTTTAAAAACAAAAATAAAATTTAACCATATATAAATTTCAAGAAATATACCTCGTATTCATGAGTGCTCAACGATTGAATGAAATCGTAGTCCCAAGAGGAAGGTTTATAGTTTCCAGATCGTCTTTCGAGTGAACCGATAGTAATCCGGCCACCAACTTGAGCCTTGCATTTGAATCTACAAAGCTCAGGTTTTTTTGAAGAAGACAAGCAATTAAAGGACGGTAGGTTTTTATCAAAGGGAAAATGATTACTAGCAATTAGCTGCTTTTTCTTAGAGGCAATTGCCATAGTAGATGATAATGCAATGACACACATTTTAATATGATATTGATGATGATCTTATTTTTTTTTTAAAGTTAATTTGTCTTATTGTGTGAGGCAGTGTAGAAATTAAGTGAACAACCTAGTACTATTTATAGGGAAATTTCGATTGGGCTTTTGTACCATTGATTTCACACACATCCATGTGGGTGTGTGTATGTGTGTGTAAATCAAGGGTGGTGGGGGCATAACTGCACTGTCCCACCACCAGCATCGAATCTTCCTATTTATAGTTGAGATTGAGAATCTCAATATACACCAACCTACACGTTCGGTCTTGAAATTAGTAGTATTTATTAGTTTATTATATTAGTGGAAATCTGATAGTCGATTTGAATAGGTAGCTAGGTTGTCTTTATTGCATTAGCAGTTAAAATATTATTGTTTGATAAACAAAGATAGATGACACATTCTATGAAAAAAGATCAAGTATAGTACATTTTCATCAAAAGGGTTAATTGTATTTAAAATTTTAACATTTTGCTCAATTTCAAATAAAATTCAACCTTTTCAAATTGGCAAAAAAACAAATACCAAACATTTAATAAGTATTGCAAATGAGTCTCAAAATCAGTTTCCGGCCAAGGCACGCCGGAAAACGAGCTCGGGGCGGCTGTGCACTGAGGGGAAGCCTAGTGAAGGAGGTCGCTGGAAGTTGAGCTTGCGGCTGGGGGAAGCTCGCCAGAGAGAGAACGTCGTGGAGGTCGACGTCAGGGAGAGAACGTCGTGGGGGTCGGCCAGAAATTTGCGAAGAAGATGACCGGAAAAGTCGTCGCCGGAAAAAGTCACTGCAGGTTCCGGCGGAGGTGGAGGTCACTAGATGTGGCTTTGCGAGAGAATTTCAACGGTACTTCGGAGTCACATGGGTCAAAGCAGTCACCGAGAATTTGCGAAAGAACGCCGGAGAAAATTTGTAGATCTACGAACTTTAACCGAAAAATTGGAAGCCTTATTGTCAGATTTTTTTCATGAAACTCGGATATGTTGTCGGCACAGAGGAGAGCTACAAGATCATGTAAAAATTTTCAACATCCGGTGAAGTTAGCCGACGACGGGTGGCGGTTGTCGGCAGTCCGGCGGCGGCGGAAGGTTATTGGCGGCCGGAAATTGATTTTGAGACACAGTTGCAATACTTATTAAAGGTTTAGTTTTTTTTTTCTTTTTTTTTTGCCAAATTGAAAAGATTGAGTTTTATTTGCAATTGAGCAAAAAGTTATGATTTTAGATGCAGATAACCTTTTCAAAATAATGAATTATATTTAAACATAAAATCCTTTATCTTTATTAAAAAGCGATACTTCCGTATCATGGTACTTTCTATCGTAATTCACATTTGTGTGCCCTACAAAAATATTATGAAATTTCAATAGAAAATTTCAACGGAAACATATTTCAATGGAATTTTAACTGCAATTTCAAGGGATATTCCAATGTTATTATTTCCGTTGGAATTTTTCAATGAATTTCAATGGAAATTCCATCAAAAGTATTCATTTAGAATGAGTTTTCCATTGGAATTTACGCGGGATTTTGATGATTCCAACGGTTCATTTTTCCATGGTTGAAATATGAGTGAAAATAAAAATTACAATGAAAATTAAATATTCCAATAGAAATTTTTACGGTAAAAAATCATTGGAATAATGACTTTTGGAATGATAAAATTTCATCTAAATTCCAGTAGAAAATCCATTCCAATGGAAGCTATACCATTTGAATAATTCTGTTGGAATCATTTCAACGGAACCTATACCATTGAAATATCCGTTGGCATTTCTATTGGAATATACTACCGTAGTATTTTTCATTGGAATATGGTGTTTT